GTTCGTCGTGGAGTAGCCAAGAAACTATCGTCGAAAAACCCTCATTGTTGAGTGAATCTTCGACGATTCTGGCCGCCTCCGATGTTGTCTTGCCTCACTGCCTGCACCATTGGATTCACCATCGCTGCACGCTCAAAACACAACTGATTTTGTTCACCGTTAACATGCTGTCACCGATCGCCGGTGTGGGTAAGTTACCAATCAGTTTTTGGTAATTTGGGTATAGTTTGATGGTGATATTAGATTAATTTTGGGTGTAATTAAAGCCTTGATTGTATTGGGAGTAATTGACTCGAGAAAAAAGCCCTTGTCACCATCACACGTGCCGCCACGTGTCGGCAGTACGCGTGGGGGTCTCCAGTTGGTCCAGGAAATTTCTTGAACCAGTCTAGACAGGCCCAACCCGCCTGCCCGACCCGAAATGCTTTGACCCCGACCCACTGACTTGACCCGACCCGTTGACTTTGGCCAGAGTTGACTAGTCAGATCGTTGACTTTGATTGGTCTGACCATTGACTTTGACCAAAAAGTCAAATTTTTTCGGAAAAACCCCTATTTTATATTTTTCGACATCCTGAGCCCGATTTTGGAGTTCGTTTTGCTAAATTCGAACCCAAAAGCATCTGAATTGACCCGTAAACCCAAAATTTGCATATTTATTTAAGTGATTTTATTCAATTAATTTAACCGAATGGTCAAAGACTAATTATTGTTATTGTTATTTAAGGTACTCGAGGTTCTCCTGATCATTCGACTGCTCGACCCGGTTCCTCCCGATCCGTTCATCCACGAGAGCTAGTGAATACTCGTAAAGTTCTGTAACTCTGTTAATTATTCAGTTTAGAAATTTATTCTGAATATGACCGTGTTCTTATATGAATTAGGTTCTCGTACAGTAGTGGAGCGTAGTGAAGCTGGTGATCAGTAGAGTTCACAGACTGATTCTTTTTGTGAGGTGTGTTCCTTATGTGCAATACAACTGTTTTAAATATCTGTTTGAAATACCATGTGCACATTATTGTTTTCTCTTATTTGAAATAATATGTTTGATATGATTTGACTACTGTATAATTTACCTGATTTGAAGTTTGATTCCTGATTTACTGAAATTTAAAGCATGATTGTCTGATCTAAGATCTTTGGTTACTGTTTTACTGAATTGAATATATGTCTGAACTCTGATTTACTGTTACCACTAGTTACTATCTGAAAAATATTTTTTTATTCGGGGTACTCTGGGATCTGGTATGAAGACTCTGCATGTTCAGTTGCTGTTGGTAATTCCTTGGATAGGTTCAGCACCGACTGGTAATTCCTTATGGACCTAAGGCGACCCTTGAGTAGGCTCTGAGGCCCCCGAGAAATTTCTTGGGTAGGCTCTCAGGCCCCAAGGTACTCCCTTAGATTATACAGTTCTGGGGAACTGCATATGGTGTTCGGTTGGAGGACGATTCTGAATGTTAAATTAAAAACTCTAATGATATTTTAATTATTGTTACCTGAACTGATTTTAAAAACATAATTGTATGTTTTATTTATGCACTGTTGAAACACACTGAGCCCCTAGCTCACTTTTCAAACTGTTTTACCCCTTTCAGATACTCTTGGATAGACACTCCGTACCAGACACTTGGAGGATCAACACATTTAGTACATATCATTTTGTTGTAATGTTTTCATCTTCCGAACTGCTTTCAATTACGGTGGCATATGTCTTTATTTTGAAGTACTTATCTTTTTATGATGTTTACTGCTTTTGGCTACACAATACTCGATTTACTATGCTTCAGATTTATTACATGTTTTGTTTTACTTAGTTGCTTTTAGTTTTATATTTACGAGTTGGGTTTTTATCGTTATTTATTATACTTTTATAAATATTATTTGTAATATGATTTTAAATTATCAAATAACGTTTTGAAAAATGTTTTAAGAATTTTTAATGTAATCCGTTAGACTTAGTCGATACGCATAGGCGGGATCTAGGGGGTCACATATATTTTAGAGGGTAAGAAAATTAGACACGATTAAGTGCGAAATGTTCTTTTGGACGGTATTACGAAGGTTCAACAATCACTAGAGCACAAATTTGGAAGATTTCGGCCTCCTGTCTCGTATACTTTCTTTTTTGTTTTAATAATCTGAGCCTCCAGATTTGTGAAATTGCTTGGAAGCTCTAAATGGCTTCTACAATGGTGACAATGGCAGGATTGAGCTTTTTGGGGCCTCTTGAACATGCAGATTTGGAAGTTTCCGACCTATTTGTCTGGTACTTCTATTTTCTTTTCTTAAAGTAATGATGAGTAAATGAAAATTATCACAAAAACACATAGATTTATAAGAAAAAGTTTTTAGAAAATCATTGATAGAAAGAAAAAATTATTATTATAATCGTAAACTATAAGTGAATAATGTGAGAGTGTATAGTAAATTTTAGTATCTTAGTCGATAATTTTATTATAATCGATCGATAATAAACTATAAGAGAATTGAATGAGAATGTATATTAAATTATAAGAGAAAAAAATTTATTATAGATGATAATAGTTTTTTTTTCTTTTATTCATGATAAGTTACTAGAGAAAAATCTGTAAGAATGAATTATATACTTTAGAATTATTTTTTTTGGATAAATTTAAATTTAATTCTAATCCTACTTAAAAGAGGGGAAGAAGGGCTCTATGGGGAGTGCTCTTGTTGAATCTAAACTCTAGAATTCATGACCAAATGGTAGGGGTGTAAATGAACCGAGCTTGAACGAAAAAAGTTGTGTCTGTGTTCGTTTGTTTATTTTTGAAAGTGTTCATTTTCGATTCGTATTCGTTTAATTTTTTAGTATCGTGTTCGTTTATTTATTTTTGAAGTTGTTCGTGTTCGTTTATTTAACGTTCACGTACGTGTTAGTTTAATGTTCGTGAACATGTTCATTTATATGTTCATTTAGCGTTTGTGAACTTGTTTAGTATTCGTTTATTGTTCACGAACATGTTCGTTTCGCGTTCGTTTATCATTCGCTAACATATTCATTTCACGTTCGTTTATCATTCGCTAACATGTTCGCTTAGCATTAGTTTATCATTCGCGAACATGTTCGTTTAGCATTAGTTTATCATTCGCGAACATGTTCGTTTAGAATAAAAAGGAAAAGAGAGTGAGGGGCAAAAGGATATTTTTTTGTGTTATAATAGAAAAAAATGGTAAAACTACACAACTAGTGCTTAAACTTCTTAGTATTCATAGTTTAAACTCCAAATTGCATCATATATTCAATTTAGTATGTACGTTCATTAATATTCAAAATATAAAAAAATAAATGAGCTTTTAAAAGAGCTTAAAAGAGAGCTTATTCATGAACATAAACAACCGAACACACCTTTGTTCGTGTTCGTTCGTCGATTAAATGAAGATAGAAATTTTATCCATATTCATTTATTCAGCTTAATAAACGAATATAATCGAACTTTATACGAACGATTCACGAACAGTTCACCGAACCTATGTTCATTTATATCTCTGCCTAAGGGAATATGAAGTAACAAAAATGAATAGTTTGACCAATCGATCGAAAATATATTACTCATATTCTTTAGATTTGTTAAATATATGTGTAACTATGTATATTATTATCACTATGTATATTATTATCAATCAATCAATACAATAAATATTATTCATCGATAGATAATCAAGCAACTTTAACTTAGGAGCCAATAAATGTTATTCCACTTTTTGTTTATAAAATAATTACTAACGAGCCTTTGAAGAAAACAAGAATAAATATCCAGTTGACTGATGGTTCTGTTATCTACTCGGAGGGAGTGCTTGAAAATATCTTAGTGAATGTCGATGATCTCATTTTTCCTGCCGATTTCTATGTCATCAACATGGAAAACGATAGGACGAATACTTGTTCTGAGGTACCTTTAGGCCAACCCTTCGTAAGCACTATGCATACAAAGATCAATGTGAGAAGCAGTATATTAGGAATGGAGTTTCATGGTGAGACCGTAGAGTTTGAAGTTTGCAAAACGATGAAATATCCAAATCGAATTGAAAAAATTAATTTTGTCGATATTATTGATCCCTTAATTGATGAATTTTGAATTTGTTGAATCTAATTTTTCTTATAATTTTTATAGAGACCTTGAACTTTGTCGTAGAGAGGAAGAAAAGAAGTTTGAAAATATTTTGCTATCAATTTTAACTTATTTTTACCTTCATCTAAAACTAAAATGATACCTTCTATTTTGCAGGCACCTGAGATAGAGTTAAAACAGTTGTCGGAGCATTTGAAATATGCTTTTTTGGGGGGAAATGAGACCTTACCAGTGATCATCTCAAACAAGTTATTCGAAGAAGAAGAGAAAACATTGGTGAAGGTGTTTTGAAAGCACAAGAAAGGCATAGAATGGTCTATTCCCGACATTAGGGGACTTCGTCCCTCGACTTGCATACACAAAATCAAGATTAAAGAAGGAGCAAAGTTATCACGAGAAGGACAACATCGATTAAATCCATCAATAATGGAAGTGGTAAAAAAGAGATTCAAAAACTTCTTAATTTCGACGTGATCTATCTGATATCATATAGTTCAAAACGGATGGTGATCGAAAGTCAACAAAATGAGTTAGTGCCGAAAATAGTTCAAAACGGATGGTGAGTCTGCATTGATTACAGGAAGTTGAACTCTCTCACTAGAAAATACCAATGAGTATTTATGTAATTTAATCTATTTTTATAAAAGTGTGACTATGTTTACAAATTTCAGATGAGTATAGGAGCTGTTGAGTTTGCTAATCACTCACTCAATTTGCACTTCGATTCATTTTCAGCCATATATATGTACATACATGTTGATAACGTGTGTGGGGCATACTCCAATAATCATGGGAGAAAGCCAACTTGTTTACTTGGCTTTTCAGATGAAATTATTACACAGTTAGCTGATGATGCTTTTAAGACTACCTGCATCTGATGTTTAAATAATGGAGTGGATTTGAATTCGAATTTCAGAACGAAATATCAAAGCAAGATATATATAATTCCTGATGGGAGTTTCCTGTGATGAATCCCATCAGCTTTTAGACCACCAAGAAACTCTTCCGACCACCACCGCCACCACTAAAACTTCCAAAAAGCTGTCTATCTTACCCTTCATCTTCCTCATCTACTTCGAGGTATCAGGTGGTGCATACGGTGCGGAGGAAGCCGTGGGTGCCGCCGGACCGTTTTGTGCCATATTGGGGTTCCTTGTTTTCCCTTTCCTATGGAGCATACCCGAGGCACTGATCACGGCTGAGCTTGCCACGGCCTTCCCCGGTAACGGTGGCTACGTCATATGGGCTCACCAGGCTTTCGGGCCATTCTGGGGTTCACTAATGGGATCCTGGAAATTCGTCAGTGGTGTCATCAACCTCGCTTCATGTTCCGTTCTTTGCATCGACTACCTCAAGTTAGTTTTCCCAGTTTTTTCATCGGGTGCGCCTAGATACATTGCGATTCCATTTTTATCCTCGATGTTATCTCTGTTAAACTACACGGGCTTGGTTGTGCTTGGCTATGCTGCTATAGTTTTAGGTGTTATTACACTTGTTCCCTTCATATTGTTGGCCTTGATTTCAATTCCCAGGATTGATCCAAGTAGATGGCTCAGTTTGAGTCAAAACCCGAGTAGTTGGCTCAGTCAGGACCGAGTACAAACCAATTGGTCATTGTTTTTCAACACCCTCTTTTGGAACCTGAACTTCTGGGACAACGTCAGTGCTTTAGCTGGTGAAATCGACCAACCCCAAAAGACATTCCCAAAAGCTCTTTTCTCAGCCGGGATGCTCACTGTTTTATCCAATTTAGTGCCTCTTTTAACCGCTACCGGGGCTATACCACTTGAGCAAGAGAAATGGGTCAATGGGTACTTCGCTGATGCTGCCAAGATCATAGCAGGCGAATGGCTAATGATCTTTGTTGAGATCGGTGCCGTTTTATCGACCATCGGATTCTACGAAGCGCAACTGACTAGCAGCGCCTATCAGCTTCTCGGCATGGCAGAGATCGGATTCCTGCCTCAGTGTTTCTCGGTGAGATCCAAGTGGTTCGACACACCGTGGGTGGGGATTGTGGTCTCAACATCGATTACCATCGCGGTCTCTTATATGAACTTTGCAAACTTAATTTCTTCAGTTAATTTCTTGTACAGTTTAGGGATGTTACTCGAATTCGCATCGTTTCTTTGGTTGAGGAGAAAAATGCCAACGATGAAGAGGCCGTTTAAAGTGCCAATGGAGTTGCCTGGTTTGATTATCATGTGCTTGATTCCTTGTGGGTTTTTGGTCTACATTATGTCAGTGGCCAATGTGACTGTGCTTTTGGTGAGCACTACAGTGACTCTGCTTACCGTTTTGTGGTACTTTGTCAAGAAAAATATCGGCAAATCCAAGATGTGGACCGAGTTCAATAAGGGAGCCAAATTGGTGGATGTAGATTTGCAGTAGGCGGATGTATTAAGATTGTTATTAGTAATTAGTACAAGAATTAGTTTCATGGGATTGCATTATTAATGAAATTGATTGTTTTTTACTGGGTTTAATCATTTTTATTACATTGTTGTCTGTGCCCAATTTTATAGGTGTAAACATTGGAACCAAAAAGCAACTTGACTCTGTGTGGACCAAATGCTGCATATTCAAGAATCTCTTTAAGGCATTGGGTCCCAAAATAAGTCAGTTTCGGTGAGCCTGAAAAGAAGCAGAGAACGTGAAGCACTTTGCTCTAATTAATTAGGAGGATAGCAACTCACCAAAAGCTACTTGAATCAAAGTGTGGACCATATCCATAACTTGATGCGTGAGTACTAAGTTAGGTGCCCTGTTGTGTCATGCGCATCATTGGCGTGTCATCTATTGAAGAGCTCGAGTCTTGTATTTTAGGTATTTCCCAAGTTTGTGTCGATGTCAGGCAAGCTTACTGGTGTTTTCCGATTGCTTTACGGACTCGTGTCGTCGTGCAACAACTTATTCGCCATTGATCTTAGTTTTGTACGATGAGTTGGGCATGGATCGTTATCGGACATCCTATAGTGCCCAGTCAAGTTAGATGAGTTATGCATATGGTTGTAAATGAGACGAATCTAGTATTACTAAGTTCGATTTGACTTGGAAAATTCAAACCTAAGCTCGACTCCATTGAAAAACCCAAAAATTTAAAATCGTTAAACTCAATTCTAATTCGAAATTAGAAATTAAAACTCGACTTACGCTCAAAAAAATTAAACTCGAAATATTCTCATAATTAGCTCGGTTGAAGCTCATGTTTAAACCTAAATCTTACGTACGTAAAAAATTTGTACTACATTTAAAAAATATATAAATGTTAATATTATTAATAATTTAATTTAATTTAATTTAAAATTAAATTTTAATATATTATTTTTTCAAGTTGCTCGTGAATTTTGAATTAAAAACCAAGTACTTCGCTTCAACTCATTAAGAACTCGAATCGAGTTATTAAAATCGAACTTTGATCGAGTTGAACTCGAATAAGTTGCATGTCTCGTCTTATTTACAAGATGGTGCGCCACATTGCAAGACATTCTTTCTCTTGGCACCTACAAAATAGTATGTTTACACTATAATTTTCTAAAAGCATGGAACCATCCTAATTATTCTCCTCCATGAAACACTAAAAAGAACAAAGAAGCCTGATATATAAGCCCCCTTGAACCACATTTCACTCAATGATCCACTATTGCCTCATTTTTCCTGCAAATATGGGGTCTACGAGCAGTTCACTATTATAGTTAACTTGCAGAGCAGCTGATAAGTTTTATATTAGATGCCAAGGAGTTCAGAATCCGTGACGCTTAAATTTACGACGAATTCAGCATGTGGTTCAGTTCAAACTTGTTACTTCTTATATTGCTCCCTAAAGCATTACTGATGGATTATTTAGCAAACCGCAGCATCCACTCCGCAGCTATTTCATCATGTTTAGCTTTGTCAGCTAAGTACAAGCGAGCAACACTGCAGGTGAGAGGGGTATCTGTCATATAAAAAGAACAGCCACATCTTCAGCATGATCATGGCATACGAAAAGACATTTTACTCGTTTAACTGCACCAAACTCTTTATTTCTTACAGTTACTTGTAGGATACTTGTTTAACTCGACAATAGCCTACCCATTAAGAAAGGATAGACAAAATTCAAGAGGTATCGAGGAACTTACAAGGATCAGGCTTTATGAAAATTGCTCTGATTGCAATACGAACCTTTGTAATCGTTAGTGCAGGGTTCCAGCTTTCCTTCAAGATGTCCAAACTAAGATTGCCAGCAGCATCGACATTTCAGTGATATATTAGAGTTTTGAATACCACCTGAGAAATGATACATGTAATCAAAAGGAATAAGGAAAAAAAGTAAAGAAGTGCAATAAAAATTCCCCAAACAAAGCATCAAGCCATGTGTAGAATAGAAGAAATTTGTTTAGTGTTATACATGTTAAGACCACAAAAGGTTCTCATACATAAAGAGAACCTTATATGTTTTCCTGAACTTTGAATTTGAAGTAAAACTCTCGATATTCGCAATATAAGGTGGCCAAAAATCAAGTATAGCTAGTGTATTAACATGATCATGTACTTTTCAGCTAGCCTGCCTAGCCAAACATCAAGCACCTCCCACTTTCATAAAACACCCCATCACCCTCCCCTCTCGAGCAGCGATGATCCAAACAGAAAATTAGATGATAAAAATATTGTAAATGATCTTCAACGATATGATTAATGAGCATACCTTGGGAGGTTGAAAGGGATAATTACTCGGAAATGTCATATCAAGGAAAAATATGCCGCCTTGGTATGGTGTTCCTCGAAACATGAACATGAGGAAGCTAGTCAATTTAGCTGAGTTAACCTTTTCATCGAACAAAAACAAAAACAAAAAAACACGATTTTTGGGAAGCCCAAATTAAACCCAAAGGAATTGTTAGTTTCTTCTAAAGAAATCAGTAATTTGAGTTAAACTCAACTAATTTTTGCCAGCAGTTTTTCACCCTTTCTCCTTTAGAGCTAACCAAGTAAAGTAAGCCTTAAGCTGACACTCAAACAGAAAGGAAATTACAACAGAACAGCAAGTGAGCTTAAAACCCAGAGATTTAACAAACACCCGTTTCCCAGAAACGGAAGAATCCTAGGGAAAAAGTAAAAGGAGAGATGTTTAAGAAAAGGCAGAGAAGAAGAATAGTTGTAAACCAGGAGGACCAATGACGGTGGCGACCCAATGGAAGAGATTGTGGCCCTTGGGGGCAGCGGTGCAATGGGGAGGAGGGTTGGCGTTGAGCTCAGACATATCCTTTTGTATCCTCTTCCCTGAATCCGACACCGAGGTTGCCGAAACCCATGTTCCTCCGGGTGCCGTCGCTATTGTTGAAGACGATGCTGATCTTCCCCGTCCTCCTATCATTATTATTGTGATCTTTTTTCTCAGTTTTCTTCTAATTTTTCTCTTTCAATCTCTCAAAAATCCCAGCCTGAATCCGATCTCTCATATTGCTTTCTGGTCGGGATTTGAAATCTGGTGTTGGTTCGCTGTTGATAATACAGAAAAAAGTAAAGGTATAAAGTAGCATTAGTCACTAAACTTGACAACTTTTCTCAATTTAGTCCCCAAATCTTGTGTACATTAATCTTGAAACTTCATAATTTTTCATAATTTGGTTCCACAATGGAATTTAATTTTCAGGTGATTATGTGACTAACTAAGACTATACCACATAATCAGTTGAAAATTAGAATGTTATTATAAATTTTACAGTTTTAAAAAAATCAATATGCATATATGTAAATTATTAAGATTTATAGTTTTCCTTAAAAAGTTGATGTTGACGTATCACAATATAAAGTGCCAAAAAATTAAGGATCAATTTGAAAATTTGTCAAAGAAGTTACTTTGGCAACTAACACTGAATAAATATAAAAATGAAGAAAACAAAATCCAAGTCTACTTATAATGTCCCTAAAAATTTCATGGCTACAAATACCTGCTGCTACCATTGAACAACGCAATGAACTCCAGAGAAGAACTGAAAAAGTAAGCAATAATGGTCAAGGATGAACAAGTGAATACCACCGTGATTCATAAAAGATCAAAAATAACAATCCGTTATCATGGTTCATGGGTCGCAGATTTCGTTGCGTAATGATCTTCGACCCCGACAAGGTTTCCGATGTTAGAGCAATATTACTAAAAGACAAGCCGTTGAGATTGCAAACTGAATCTTTGATACCGAAGGCTTCGGACCCTCTCCCAGTGGACTTACAGGACCAAAATCTCCGGCAGGGAAAAGCCCTCTCCCACCACTAGAATTAGAACTGTTTCAATAAAAGAAAAAGGTCATGATCCTATACAAGGAGTTGATAATATGGAACATATTTAACTGCAAAAGATATTGAACCTTACCTTCCCGTAAATATGCAGGGCCTGTAACCTGCACGAGTTATCCACCAATGGAGTTATTAACCAAAAACAAGAAAGAAAAAGCCGAATATCATGACAGACGGTAGGAAGAACATGAGTATGCAATACGGTTGATGTCGCAAACAAAAAGGTTTATGAAAAGTCGATAACTCGATTTCAGACACAGCATGACGCTCTGCACACCGAATGTATGATATACATATGTTTATATTCAGACATAGAACATTCTCTAGTGGCAGGAAGAGAAAAACTTCCAGTCGAGGATGTAAACTATTTTTAAAAGATCGATATTACAGATAAAATTATTAAGATCGATGATGAGAAAACTTGTCATACTTACTTGGATCATTAGTGGTAACTGTGGCTGTCCCATCGAAATCGCATGTCCCGCCAACGCTACGCATTTTTTGATAATAATCATTGTAAGCATAAGATGCGTGGTTCTTGATGCTATTTGGGAGATAACATAGCTGCCCGGATTGTATAACACTGCAGTTGGTCTGTCCTTGCCCGCATGCCCAGTTAAGTCCATCTTGCAACTTATCTTCACTGGCGTCGTCTTTCGCCACGCAGAAAACTGCAGTAGCATTTCCCATAGTCTGACTAGAACCACTCAAACTCAAAGGAAAAACTGCGGTGCCGTTCGTAGAAAGCATCCCCCAGTTCTTCTCGGAGACAGGCCCAGGTCTTTTGTCTTCGTTAAACAATTCATAAATGTATGTGTTGATGGGAATATTCGGCCGACTGGGCGGACCTGAATTATTTGAAACCCGCCGGATCAAGTTATTAATGAATGTCCCAGCATTTTCCACAGTGGCATCAGGTTCATTGGCTCCACCTTGCGAAGGCCATCCCGTTTCTGTGACAACAATAGGGATCACGGAAAAGTTGAGGGCATCCATAGAATAATAGGTTGCATCAACCATCGCATCGAACATGCTGTTATAGTGGAAGAGAGTGTTCGGGTCAACAATTTGTTTGACGGAAGTGAGAGGTTTGAAAAGTGCATAGTCAATTGGAAATATGCCATTTCCATTAGTGTAACCATAATAGGGATATGCATTTAACATGTAATAGGAGTTAGTGTTCTTCAAAAACTGAAGAAGCTGGTATATTGTAGAGTTCGGTGAGGAATTAAAGACGGCGGTAGATGGAGGGAAAGGCTTGGGGATGATGTCCAAGGACTGGGGGCTCGAGACTTTAACATGAAAATTCATATCAGAAGCAACAAGAGCTTTATGGAGGTTGTTCATAGCAGAAACTAAAACTGGTGCAACACGAGGGACCGAGGAAAGAACCTCACTGCCAACAGCAATGGCTGTAATGTTGGTTGCAGGCACATATGATGCAACATTTTTGTTGACCCACGCTGCTGCTGTTGATGCGGATTGTCCGACTCCTAGGACTTTTTGTCACACCGACTATTACGGCTATTTGACATAACTGACACTAATTTTCTCTAATATCCCCTTTCTGACACCGTTTGATCAATATTTTTCAAAATAGCACCCTTTCTGCTGAGCTGGCAAAAGACGCGTCCCCGGGGACGCGCTTTACCCGTGTTTTCGCTGAGTTGAATGCCACGTGTGGAAGGCGCATCCCCGGGGACGCGCCTTCCATTAAATGCCATAAATGCCCCCATCCGTTTTCCCTAACTACCCTCTCCTCCCCTATATAAACCCCCTCAACCCTCCCTCATTCTTCACACCAAAATCATATTCTCCTCTCTTATATAACTCAAATTCTCCAACTATTTGAGTTTTAAATTTGTTATTAGTGGTAAGAAATTTATTTTTATGTTAGTATTTTTTTAAATAGTTATTATATTTTATATTAATATATTTTTGTAAATATTTTTTTTTATTAAAATAATATTTATATAATTATTATTTATTTAGAATTATTAATTTTTTTGCTAATTATATTATTTTGTCTACAGTTATAATGGAAAACGAAATGTTGTTGCGATTGGATACTGATCATATCTCCAGATATTTTAGCGATATGGTAATATTTTTATAATTAATGTTAATATTTAAATTTATTTTTATTTTAAAATTATTATGAATTTATATTAATTTTTATTTTTTATAATGTATATTATTTAGGATACTGATCGTATTTTAGAGATTTTTATTAAAAATCCACGTATACCTACACCAGAACGTATTTTGCCATATTTGGCTTCTGCAGGGTTCGGGTATATTGCAACAATTATAGGCGGTTGCAAACTCGAACCTGTCCTAATTTCTGCACTGATTGAGAGGTGGAGGCCCGAGACACACACTTTTCACCTTCCATGTGGAGAGGCCACAATTACATTGGAGGATGTCTCTATGCATCTGGGGCTTCTCGTCGACGGAAATATGATGTGTGGTATGGCGGATGGTGATTGGCAATCAATGTGCATTGATTATCTTGGAGCTGCTCCGCTAGAGTTTAATGGAGGTAAAATAGTTTTATCTTGGTTGAAAACTAATTTTGAGGTTTTAAATGAAAATGCTTCAGAGGATCAAGCAAAGGCATGTGCTCGGGCATATATTCTACGAATAATTGAAGGAATATTGATGCCCGACAAATCTCGCAACCAGGTGCATTGTATGTGGTTGCGGTATCTGATCGATTTTGATGAAACTGGAAGATATAGTTGGGGCGCTGCAGTTTGGCATTTCTCTTTAGAGAAATGTGTCGGGCGACGAATTATAAGAAAACTGCTATCGGTGGATGTCTTCTGCTTCTACAATCATGGGCGTGGTTCCGTATGCCTTTCTTATGCCCGATCGTGAATGAACCATACGTATTCTCCTTATTGTTGAGGTAATTTTTGAACTAAATTTTGATTTAAATATTTTCAATTAAATAGGGTTATATTTAGTTTATATTATAATTCATAGGTGGTCGATGAAAAGAAATGACCATAAAAGTATACCTACTGGGTTAGAGGAAATTCGTTTACTTATTGATACGAAAGCTGGGTCTGAGGTATGTTTTTAAATTTGTTTAATTATTAATATTTTAATTTAAATGCTAGATATAATTAGAATATTTTATTTATTTGAATTGTATATTTATATTTCAGTTTCAGTGGATACCTTATGCGAGCGATGAAGTGAAAGCTTGCATCTCACCCCACCTTAGTGGGTCATTAGAGGTATGGATATCGGTTATGCCTCTTATATGTTATGCTATTATTGAGTGGCATCCAGTTGATCGCGTGCTCTGTCAGTATGGTTGTACGCAATATATTCCTGGAGCACCTAGGAATTTAGACGACGTACATAACATAGATAGACGAGGAAAGAAAGATGTTAACTGGGTGGTGAGACACAGAGATTGGATTGCGCTTTGGGAGAACCGATATACACTGTTAGCCCCTCGACAATATTACGCTGAAACTGGTTATATGGTTACGGATAACTATATGGACTGGTTTAATGAAAATGGGAAGCCGTTTCTACTTTCGGCGGAAGCACGAGGGGTTAACATTCCTAGGCGCCGAGAAAGACGTCAACCGTCTCAATATCATCGTCCCCCGACGCGTGGACGGAGAGAAGGCGCTACCGGTTCTGCATCAGTCCTACCACAACATCCTTATACGTCGATGCCGCAGGGGTACATGCCCAGCCCTCCACTTCATATGCCAAGCCCACCAGTTTATATGCCATCTCCGCAGGGTTACATTCCGAGCCCACAGGGTTACATTCCGAGCCCGCAGGGTTACATTCCGAGCCCGCATGGTTACATTCCTAGCCCGCCAGGTTACATTCCTAGCCCGCAGGGTTTTATACCATATGGAGGTGCATATACGACTATGTTTAATGATCCAGCATATGGTTCATATGCATCTTATTTGGATGGTGGTGCTTCTCCGCAGACACCTCAATCTCCATCTGGATCACAAACATCGATGTCAATGTTTCCACAGTTTTCACAGTTCCCGGAGAGCGGTGGGATTGTTACTAGCACTCCTCCAGGGTCGTTATTTTATACAGGCCCTTTAGCCCCTTCAGCGTCATCTACACCAAATGAAGAAAATGTTGCTGATGATGATAGTGAAGATGAGAAGACTGAAGAACAAGTTCCACGAAGAAATCCTCCACGAAATAGACAACCACCGTCATGTGGAACTCATTCGAGAAGACGACATCGGTGATCCAGTTGTATTTAATGTTATTTAAATAATTATATTTCATAATTTTATGTAATTTGGTTATGTTATTTAAATGTTTCATGGTTGTTACATACATATTTTTAATGTTATTTTTTATTCACATTTAACATTAAATGTTTGATAAATGTTTTTAAAATACAAATTATATTATTCAAAATTTAAAATAAAAATAAAATAATATTATTTGAAATTTAAATTTAAAATATAAATTATAGTATTCAAAATTTAACATTAAATTTCAACTTAATATTCCAATTGTATTCGAAATTAAAAGTTATATTCCAATTATAGTTCACAATACTTAAATTGAAATTAAATTTATCCATACATATGATTTTATCATTAACATATATATTAAAACGTATACATTAAAATCAACTTATGTTGAGTTAATCGATCGACGGAATCGGCCAAGAGGGGGTGAATTGGCAATTAAAATTTCGGTGGAAGCTTTTGCAGAAAATTGAAAAGATTTGCACAGCGATTTAGAGTGGTTCGACTTTCTCAATCAAAGTCTACGTCCACTACCTTAGCTATCCACACTAAGGATTTTCCACAAATTCACTAATTTGTCTTTTTTTTTAGGACAAAGAGTAACCTTACAAACCCTCAAGAATTATACCCCAAATTCTTGAGAAAAACTCTCTCCCAAAGAGAACAATACAAATTTGCAAACTTACAAGGAAATCCTCACAAGGTAGATTGTTTGCACAATTCTAGAACAAAGAAAAGAACACTCAAAGATGAATACAATTGAGCACAATATGTGTTCTTGAAAGCAAAATGAATATTGAATGAAAATAGGCTTGAAATGCTCAAACTTGAGGTTTGATGCTTTCTCTTTGATTATCTCTTGATTCTAGTTGCTTGATGTTTCTTGTTTTTGATCAATGGCTTCTAAGCTTGCTTAAATACACCTTAAATCACTTCTGAACGTTAGGGATGATTAATGAAGATAATATAGTCGTTTAAGTGTGAAAACATTTAATAAAAATGCTTGGAGCGTGGGGGGAATCGGTACCCTCTCATAGGGAATCAGTTCCCTAAGTGTAAAATTCAAATATTTCGACCATTGAATAGGGGGAATCGGTACCCCCTATAGGGGAATCGGCTCCCTCCGAGCATTTTGGAAATCTCAGAGCCAAACCATTCAGGGGGGAATCGGTACCCCCTTGGGGGGAATCGGTTCCCTCTGAGCAATCTGGAATTTTTGGCTTTGAAATGGTTCGAAATACTTTGAAATATTATTTTGAAATTGTTTTAAGATTAAAACTTAATTTTACACTTAAGTAAGGATTAAAAATGATTTTTGAAATATTTGGAGTAATGTTTTGATATTCGAATAATTATATCGAATATACTTAGAAAATCATTTGGAAAATCTTAAAATTCATTTATCTTAATTTGTTATATCGAAATATCAAAATGTTTTCAACAACTTATGACTTCACATTTATTCGTAAAAACATCTCGATGCTAATTCCATACAATTTCAATGTCACAATCAACTTATCACTTCACATTTATTCAATTTATCCATAACATTTTATCTAATTTATTCAAACTTCACATAATGTTTTAATTTAAGTTATTCTTAACTTGCTGAACTTTCAAAAGAAGTTAAATTTTGGTTATAATTTACCTGATTTACTGATATATCTAGTGTCCCCGAGGGACATGAGTGACATAATAGGGCAATGATAACATATTCTCTGACAAAATAATGGAAGGCGCGCCCCCGGGAACACACCTTTATGTGAATAGTGAAATAATAGGTACTGATATATCTAGCGTCCCCGAGGGACATGAGTGACATAATAGGGCAATGATAACATATTCTCTAACAAAATAATAGAAGGCGCGCCCCCGGGAACGCGCCTTAATGTGAATAGTGAAATAATAGGTACTGATATATCTAGTGTCCCCGAGGGACATGAGTGACATAATAGGGCAATGATAATATATTCTTGACAAAATAATGGAAGGCGCGCCCCCGGGAACGCGCCTTCATGTGAATAGTACTCTGATTATAGACACTATTATATGCAACATATTATAAACTTTCAAAACAATCTTCAGTTCACAAGCTTTTAAATTCTCAAACTCTAAATTCTCAAATTCTCTGAAAATGAGTTGTCTTTCTGTTGTTGTTTTGTATGATGGAGAAATTAAGGAAGCTGAAGAGGGGGTTGTTTTTGAGTCAGATCATTATATCCCCTTAACCTTGAAGCGAAACATCACAATTGAGGAGTTAATCACAAAAATTTCGTTAAAGATTCGTGTAGCAGGCCAGAGAAGACTATCTTCACTTCAGTACAAATTTCCTACTGAATTGTTTCCGCTCACGTATACATCATTTCAGCTTTCAAACGATGATGATGTTTCTATGATGGTTGATGCTCATACGGGGAGTTCACAATCTCTTATTGAAATGTATGCCACTTTTATTGAGGTTCGTGCAACTCGTGGTCTCTCATATTCCTCTCACTTTGGCATTGCATATCAAACTGATCAAGTTGATAGCCCGACACAACTGATCTGTAATGATTTCACATCATTAATGGCGGATCCAACGCCAGATACCATGCCATCAAGTTCAATAGGAAGGCATTCATCTGCAACTGCTTATGATCTCAACCCACGTGGCTTCACCAATAATCCATATGGAAACATCTCTTCTACTTCAAGGGGCAGACATTCATCTGCCAATGTTTTCGACTTACATATGAAAATGCCAACGAGACGACAGTCTATTCACATCCCACATGATACAATGGCCTCAAGTTCAAGGGGAGGACACGCAAGCGGGAACTTATTTGACCTCAATATTGGATTATCAGAGGAACCCTCATCTCCACTAGAAGAACCTCTTCGGGAGCCAGGTGCAGATGGTGCTGAAACGGGATTATTCGTTGAACCTGACTCACCACAGTTTAACGTACATTCTGATGATGACGAGGATGACGTTCCGATAAATACAACACCAGCCGAACTTCCTGCACATATGTATGAGGCTGATTATGATGCAATGTATGAGCCTGAATTTCCAGATCTTCCTGATGTTGGCAACTATGGACTTCAATCATTAGTCAATGACGGTAATTTACATATTGGAATGGAGTTCGCATCGAAGGAGGAAGCAATGATGGCAATAAAGAGTTACAATATTCGTAACTCAGTTAAGTACCGAGTTGATCGATCTAACACGGAGAAATATGTCTGCTACTGCATCCAACGTGACAACGGATGTCAATGGATGGTCCGTGTATCAAAGAGAAAGAGGAAGAACAACTTATGGGAACTAACCAGATACAACGGTCCTCATACATGTTGTGCAACAGGTATAAACCAGGATCATCCCAACTTGGACTCCAACATTATTTGTCAAACAATCATGCCCATTGTGAAGCAAAGCTCTCATATAGCTGTTGCAGTGTTGATTTCTGCTATACAGTCACAATATGGGTACATTGTCTCATATAAAAAAGCGTGGTTGGCAAAACAGAATGCTATTTGCAAACTTCATGGCGAATGGGATTCCTCTTACAACGAGCTGCCCAGTTGGTTTCATGTTGTGCAAAGACTTAATCCCGGGACAATTGTTGAGTTCGAAACTCAACATCATTACGTGAATGATCGAATGGTTCGCGATCGCTGCCAATTTTACCGTGTCTTTTGGACTTACCCTCAGTGTATTAATGCAGTCAAGTACTGTAAACCAGTTGTCCAAATTGATGGTACTTTCTTGTATGGGAAATACAAGCAAGTTTTATTATTGGCTGTAGTCTAAGATGGAAACCGCAATATTCTTCCTGTTGCGTTTGCCCTCGTTTAAGGAGAAGACACTGAGTCTTGGGCTTTTTTCCTTAAAAATTTACGTTTACATGTTGTCACCAGGGAACGAGTATGCATTATTTCAGACCGAGGAGCCGGGATAAAAGAAGCAATGGACTCTTTGGGTACAATGTATAGACCTCCACATGTTCAACGTCGTTATTGTGTCCGTCATATTGTTGTAAACTATTACGGAAAATACAAAAAGAACGATGAACGTCAGTTAGTCGTGCGGATGAGTATGTTACTTTTTCTCAATTTTTCTATCAATTTCTTATTACTTATTTATACTTCATATTAACTATTACATATTCCTAATGGCTTAGGTTACGAACTCTTACCTCAAAGGTTTGAGTCGATGCTACAAGAGCTGTTTGGCAAAAATAAGAAGGGGTGCGAGTACATTATGGACATCAACAAATAAATGTGGACAAATGCATATGACGGGGGTATCGCTATGGTCATATGACAACAAACTTGGCTGAAGCAATAAATTCAACCTTAAAGGGGGCGCGTCATTTACCAATCACGGCGTTGGTTAAAATGACTTATTTTCGTTTGGGTCAACTCTTTGCAAAGCTCGGTGGACAAGCTCTTACTTGGATGCAAAACGGACATATTTACCACCCAAGACTAGTAGTTGATTTACAGAAAAAAGTGGCTGCATCAAATGGGATGTTAGTTACAAATTTTTCTCGCACCCGTGAATTGTTTCGTGTAACCGAAATGCCACGTCCGCTGCAAGAGATTGGAGCTAACTCTTTCAGAGTTAATCTGCAAGAGAGGTAGTGCGATTGTGGTTTCTTTCAAGCACTCAAATATCTATGCTCTCATGTCATTGCTGCTTGCTCACATTCGCATTTGGACTACAAAAATTATGTTGATCCCGTATACCAACTTTCACAAGTATTCAAGGTATATGAATTTGAGTTTCCGCCCATAGGAAAAGAAAGAGTCCAAATGAGATTCAAACTTGGCTTACAATTGTACCAGATCCATTGCTATTGAGGGACTCAGGTCGTCCAAAATCTACTAGAATACATTGTGATATGGATATTCGGGAGAAGTCAATAGAACAAAAACGATGTGGGCATTGTAGAAACACCGGGCACAATAGAAAAAAATATCCAGCTCTGTTATTATAATATAACCGTTAACTCTTATGTAATTAATATTATATTTAAATGAATGTTTTTGTTTCTAATAATTTAGTGTTATTGCATTTATATAATTTGTCAATGTATGTACACCTAAATAATTTTTTTTAATTTTTAAATACATAAATATTTTTAATATATTTATTTAAAATAATAATTAATATTATTAGTTATAATTTTTTTTAAAAAAATATAATAATAATTCTACCTTCTAAGTTGAGACAAATATTAAATTAAACAAATTAAAAGTTATTAAAAAATTTATGTATACGATGACACATTTCATGTTCTGATTGGAGGATTAAATTTATTAAATTAAATTTTCAATAAGACTAATTTCATAAAATATGTAAGTCTTGAAGTTTAAATATGTAATTATACTAATTTATTAACTTATGCATCAATATTTTTATTAAATATTAATATGAGATGACTAGATTGATAACATTTAAATAATTAACTGATAAAATTAATAAATCGATAATCAAAATCAAAAATAATAATATAACCATATGTGTAATATTATAATTTCATACATTTTTCCTATAACTACAATAAAGTCAAAACTGGTTTTCATATATTGTTATAACATATTAATGTAAATAATTCACTCCACCTTTAATACACATTAACAAAATACATTTGATAATTCTTAAATTATAATCAAAACACTTTACATAATATATTATTAATTTATAATAATAATAAAATTAAAATATTTATTATTAAACAAAATACGTGACAGTCGAGCTGGCGAAAGGCGCGTCCCCGGAGATATGCCTTCCACACGTGACATCCAACTCAACGAAAACACGAATAAAACGCGTCCCTAAAGACTCATATTTTATCAACTCAGTAAAAAAGGTGCTACTTCAAAAAATATTAACAATTACTTCAATACCACTGCCTGCAAGGGCTTTCAGCATATGAGAGTCGGCATCATAGAGTCGTACGTGAGTGATTTGATGGGCTCTGATAATGGAAACGACATCTGAAGCTGACGGCATGCTGGAAGCCTATGTTTACCCCGACGTATGCACCTATAAAGTCAATAATCTGTCAGTAAGAACCAGCCAAAAACCCAATTGCATGATATTTTTATGTAGATTACCTAAAATATTTAGAGGACCCTTGTAACTCAAATGAAAAACAAATCGTCCCACTGGATTAGTAGAGGTAAATTCATATAACAAAATGACAAATCTAGTGTGCTTCATATTTTTTAGCTTATATTTGCTTCAAGGGTGATCTCCAGTGGAGTACATACTCGATGAACTACCTGTTAAAAAGAAAAAGTAAAAAACCGAAACCGAAACCGAAACAAACAGAACACAAGCATTTCGATTTTCAATGGTCTCTAGATCTTCAAAGGCATGTCCGGTAGGCACCTTCTAAATACTACGACAAGAAAACACAAGCTGAACCTATTTTTTTTTTATAGGAATAATAAGCCTCGTTAAAAACCTCCTTCATGATTAATAGATCATAAAATGCTTCTTAATCAGTGGAAGGAGAAAAAAATGCCTTATAATTCATTAAAACACATAAATTACATAATACTTAAGGAACAATCATATAGACTCCCTATACACACCAACCCATAGTAAAAAAATAACAGACCCGAACATAACCAAAAGGCTAAACAGCTAGCCAATACCGGCCTTTGCTAAGGCATCAGCCTCAACATTAGCTGACTTAGCAATCCATCAAATGATGCCTCCCAAACCTCTTAACTTAGTAATAATTTCGTACACAAGGTCTACATATACATTGGGACATCTATCAAAGTTCTTGATCCAGTCCACCGCAACTTTACTATCGGATTCAACAATCAAGCGATCCTCAAAACGCCGTTGGATTGAAGCAAAGAAAATCAAGCCCTTCTTAATTGCCATAAGCTCTAACAAAATGGGAGGACCCGGACCAGAAGCCTCTTGAAAAGAACCCACCACCGAGCCATTCTCCATTCTTAGAATTCCCCCAACTCCATTTTTCCTCCAATCTGCAATAACAACTGCATCCACATTCAATTTAATATAGCCCTTTGGAGGCCGAGTCCAGACCTTAATTTTAATGATTGAAGATCTAGAAATAGCGCAACAATCCCCAAGCGAAGGATCACAAATAAGACAGTCCTTTAGAATAGACGTCTCCTTATAGACAGCTAAGAACCATGCAGCCAGCCTATTACCCATAAGCATGACTAAAATGGTTTCATTGGCGGTATTTGATCCATAAAATGTACCGAAAGTGGTTACTATCAGAAAACAAAAACAAAAAAGTAAAACTAATTAAAAAAATCACATTAACAATAAAGATCCTCTAAAATTAGTATGATTTTACAGCTGATGCTTAGATACTAGAAGGAAGGACTAACCCCAAAAGTAATAGCAGACTTGAATAATACTAAGCTTTCAAATAAAACTTGGCCTAAAAGATAAACAATCAATGAAAACTTCTAAATTACCTATTACATTGGAAAACATGCCAATTAGAACCAGAAGCAAGCTTCCAAAACATCTGTCGGGAATCATCTGATCATAAAAAAATTCCCACCTAAATGAACTGTCTTGTGCTGTTTACTCTCAGCCGGGACTTAAATACTAAGATGTTCTGCAAACAAAAGAATCATATCTAGCAGACCATGGTTGGCAAATACTAAGAATTTATGGGAAAAAAGAAAACAAAATAAACTCATAAAAGCCACAAGAAATCTAAGTATATGGCAAAACTATGAAAATTATTCACCTTGGTGTCTGAAAAATATACATATCTTCCAAAAGGCAAATGCTAGCTCAAAAGATTAATTAAAGTAAATTTCCATATCCATTACAGAGTAGATACAACTGTAAGTCCATTTCCTCAACAATGGTTGTCCTATATGAACATGGTGTTGACATTATGTAAGGGAAATCTTAGTATTAGGAGGAGATATTAGTCCAGACCAGACTCCGCATCTAATTTTGCTCATCAAAGCCAGTATTTTAGACGTATTGCACAAAGAAAAAGAGAAACATTTATGAAAAGAAGTTGAGAAACTAAGTATCTAAAACACCCTTTAACATTCTGAGAATAAAAAAGCAAAATGATGGCAAGCAATGCAACTGTGAAAGTAAAGTCTAGTTCCAAAATGGTCAGATGCACAGGGTCCCCAAAGTTGCATTTTTTGAACTACCCGGCAGCCAACTCCCCTAAATTAAAGTACCCAGATAAAGAAATCAAGATAAGGAAGTTCTAGAGTAGGTCCAAGTTCCCCAAGCTGCAAATAAAAGAATTCTAGGGAGAAAAAACAGACAGAGAGCTGTAAAGCTTCGGCTGATAAAAGAAATCTTTATTTACATTATTAAATACATTTTTCATAATACTAAAAGAAAGAAAACATTTACTTACATTTGCAAGTAGAAAAAAAAACAGTACTTTATTAATAAAAAAAATAGTGTGTTTCAGATGCAGAGTGAAGAAACCTCTGTGATGGCGGCTTGTTCGTTTGATCTTTGAGGTTCTTAGTAGCCAGTTACTGTTCCTGAAACAAATGGCTTGGTGGTGCTCTGCAACTCTTTGTTGTTTTCTGGGCTATCTTTTTTGCAATTATGTATATGAAATGGAAAATATTGCCAGAGGAAGAATATAGAAGCAGTAGAATAATTGTTTGGGGACTGTATAGTAAATAAATGAGTTATTAAATTAAATTAGTTCAGTTTCTTTTGGAACCAATACAAGGCTTGTCGATATGGGTGTAATTTTTATTAGTGAAAACTACTTGAATAGTATAGTCAGTTAATTATAGGAATATTCTAATTTTATAATTCATTTATTAATTTTATTAATTAAGTTATCTAATTTTTTTTTTGAAAATAATTACCTAGTTATTTAAATAATAACGACGGGATTATTATTTTCAATAATTAACGAAAATACTGACACAATAATTAATTAATGAAAAAATCGATACTATAATTAAATAAATTTATATGATTACATATATCAGTACTATTTAAAAATTTTATCAATTTAATCATGATGTTAATTTAATTCAATAATATTACTTTTTAAATTATTATGAGAATTATAATATTAAAATTATAAATAATTACTAATATTTATTGCATGTCATTAAACTAAGAATATAATAATATATTGTTAAATTAATTGTTTATCAATCTAAATACCAATTTAAATGATATAAAACATATATGTAAACTAAATTCTAAAGATGTATAAGAGATGAGAACCCTTATTTATAAGATAAATAAATGGTATCACCTTTATTTATAAGAGATGAGAATTGGGAACCTATGTATTCACGTTAACAAGGGGAACCGATATGTAAATTAATTCATCAGATCTAAACATTTAAGACTTCACTAAGGGAGGCGATTAAAGTGATAGTAATATTGCAAAGAATAAAATCTCAGCTGCACTAATTTCATCCACAATAAGCTAATGATACCATACCAGCATAATTTCAAAAGTTGCACCAAAAGAAAAGGGAAGTAACTCAATTTCAGTACTAGTTAACATAGGCCCTTAATAAAGAATATCTCAGCAGCACCCATTCCATGTTTGGCATTACCAGTTAGGGCTCTTAAATCAACCAACTATCCTAACAAGCTTCAGTTCAAACACCAAACGATAAAAAAAAATTGCAGCACATATATCATTGACTGGGAGACCTTTCTCCATTACGTTCCCTCTTGTACTCCTCATGGTATGGACTCCGGCTTCTGCCTCTCACTGGGCTTCCAACTTCTCTTGGGCTCAGGCTTCTGCCTCTCACTGGGCTTCCAACTTCTCTTGGGCTCACTGGGCTGCGGCTTCTGCCCTGGCTGGGGCCCTGCCCCCTGTCTAGACTCCGGCTCCGACTCCTAGAGCCATTATATGGTGGAGGAGAACGTGAATACCTCTCTCGGCTGTAGCGTCCTTGTGGTGAAGGAGATCTGCATGAAGCAAACATCATGGAGTTAACCATAAGCCTATGAAGAAGAGGGTATTTAAGATGCTTTAGAGTTGAGGAAGAAACACATCCACTACCTTGAGTAATGCCTATCTTTAGGAGGAGGAGAATAATCACGACTACGTGACCTGTATCTTCCATGACGTGGTGGAGAGCGAGGATATCGAGGAGGGGACCTTCTCCTATCATGGTATCGACCTCCTCTGGGGCAAAAAACATTGAAAGTTGAGAAACAAGGAAAGATCATAACAATTTCTTTGCTCCATGCCATTTATGAATATGTTTACTTGTTTAGCATCACAAATTTTTACAAAAAAATACAACACTAAGAATATTGAGCCTACTAAATACACAACATCCAACCTCTATTAACATGGATATTAGCATATTAACATTGCCCTTAAGAACACGCAGATAAGCTGCATACAACTAACAAAAATGTTACTTCAAAATATAACAAGCATCTCAATAGGACCATTTTACTATATATCATCTCCCCCAAAGGAAGTTTAAAATTTTAAGTAAATTAATCCTACATTCTCTTAAATTATTATAGAAGATAGAAAAATTTAAACTAGACCAGTTATGAGGTCATCGTTGGAAAGGCTCAAATGGATGCAAGTTCAAAAACTAGTAACACGCCATTTTATTTGAAAGCTAGACAACTAAAATAAATGTCAAAAAAATATGTTACAGCTAAGTAAACATACTGAAAAGTGTACCTTGCTCGCTCTCTGTGCCTCATTTCAGTAGGTTTCTTCCTGTTTTCTTCAGCAAAGACAACAGTCAACTCTCGACCAAGAAGAACCTGCCCATCCATCTGGTATTTGGCTTCAGTAGCATCAGCAGGATCAACATACTGGACAAAACCAAACCCTCGAGGTTCCCTGAAGAATTACATGATAGCATGACTTCGAGGCAACAAAAGAAAATAAAATCTAACAAGGACTTGCCTGCTAACATTTGCAAGTATCAGTTTAAAGATCACTTGAAAATCTTCAAGACTTGGAACATCATCACAATGTATTCAAACCAACCAACTTTCTTCCAATCGTCACTACCACTAACATCATCTTCAAAAGAACTCTATTTACTTGGTTGATGTCTTCAAAACTTTATTTTCACTGTTAAACCTCAAGAACTTCAAATTAACACACCCAATTTGTGATTACAAAAGAGTATACTTAAGGAAACGCCCCAACATCAGAATGGCTATTCTGATGATGGAGCAAGAGCAGGGCGTGCATGGTAAAAGCATAGAGAAAAAAGATGGGTTTTTAAAACTTCGCTTCAACCCCTATATCAGAGAAGAGAGTCTTGAAGAACCACAAATTTCCCAAGGACAACCTAAATGGAATATCAAAGTTAGGAATTTTCTTTAAGAGGGCCAAATCTTTTGAATGGCCTATCTCACACAAAACCTGTGGTAAGGTTAAAAAGAGTATACTAAACAACTGAAACATTCATATGGCGACAAATAACCTTACCCAGTAAAATAATCTTTGGGCAGATAAATATCTTTAAGAGGGCCAAATCTTTCGAATGGCCTACGAAGGTCTTCAGGCCTGCAAAAGCAAGAAACCAATATAAGAATGCCGCAGGTAGAAACGCAAATAGTCAATAATTTTAACCATTACACTATCACAGACAAAAAATAACGGGTTAAAAGTTCACATAAATAAATAATCTCCACACGGAAATAATAGGTACAATTCAATGATTCATTCAACAATGGGAGACGAAAAGTAAAATTTCCTGTGAATTAATAATAATACAAATTTCAAAATGCACAAGAAATAAGATCTAGGAGCAAAAGAAACCTGCAGTCATGGCGGAGGTTGCGAACCAAAAGGCTCGTAGGAAGATCGCGAGCATGACCACCGTAGCGGCCTCTGGGACTAGGGCTCCGCCCTCTACGGCCGTAGCCTCTGGGCGGAGATGGAGTATAGCTCCTGCCTCTCATTTATGGGGGGATAATAAATACAAACGGTATACCTATCTGCAAAACCCTGGTATTAAAAGATCGAATAAACCAAGATGAAGGCGGAGGTTGAAGAAAGCGGCAAAGGCCGAGGGGTGAAGCTAGGGTTAGGAAAACGGGATGATAAAATAGATCTCTGGAATTACCCTTTTTTGTCATATAGCGTCTCTACTCTAGGGTTGACCTTCTCTTTGCTCGCGCCACGCGTTTTCATGCTAATTCATAGATTGTGAATGTTTTGAATAATGTGGGCCTTTGTTGTTTGGCGAGCCAGCCCAATTCTATAACCCATACTACTTGACAAAGTCATTGTTCAGCTTTCAGGATTAAGGGGTTGTTTGTTTGTCTTTTAATAGAATTATTCAGCGTTAAATGCTGATAATAGAATTATTCAGCGTTAAATGTTGAACCGTTCAGCATTCAGCGCGAAATGTTGAACCGTTCAGCATTCAACGCGTTTGTTTCGTACCTCTGAATGATTCAGTAAAACAGTGTTGAATGATTCAGCACATAAGTACATTCTGAATGATTTAGAGTCATTATCAAACAGCATGTCACATTCAGAGCTAATTCATACAGAGTCTCTGAATCATTCAGCATTTGAATCATTTAACGCTTAATCATTAAGTAAACAAACAACCCCTAAGTGTTTTCAAAATTCAAACAATTCGACCGAATTAAATTCCTCAAAATCATAAAATATTAGATGGATCCGGCTGATCATATCATCTGTGATTCTAATCAATAAAGTTCATAAACGTCATTTTTTTTCAAGGTGGATCTTCAACTTTTCCTTTGAAAGCTACTTAGAGATTGATGTACCTTATTAATTGGGACCACGGATGATGTGTTGAGCATGGTCTATCAAACAATTTCTCCTCAAAATCGAATTATTTATTTTTTAATTGTTAATCAAATTAATTTTTTTAGTATTTAAATTTTTATTTTTAAATTATATTATATATTTAGTTTTAGTTTAATTTTAATACAAGTCATCCAAAAACTTAATGGATGGACCGACGTGTCATAACTTTAATAGACGGACAATCAATTTGAACGGTGTACCATGAGAGAATGATGAGTCGACTAACATAGTACAGTTTTCAGGCCTATCGGACGGTGGATCATAGAGATTGGAAGGTGAAAAAATCGAATAGTGCATCACTGATTTAAAGAGATTGGGGCATTTCTCAGTGAAATAAAGGTTGAAATCGTGTTCATGGGATCGAAAAAGTGTGGGCTAGAAAGTATGAGCTTCATCGACTGACAGATTTGATGACCGAAAACTGTAGACGCGACGGTCTACGTGTCATTCAGTTGAATTTTTAACGATGAGATACTAAAATGGAGCAAAAACTAAACGTTATGATGATTTTGAAAATAAATTAAATTTTAGGTATTAAAACGGAATAAAACTGATAGTTTAGATATTAAATGCACAATTTACCCTAATATTTATTACTATTACTTTGGGATGACAAAAAATCCGAACCCGATGGGGAAAACCGAAAATTAAATTAGGGAAAAATCGTTTATGCTAAACGGGGACGAGGACGGGTTTGGTAATCTCTACCTCGATTACCCGATTACCCAGCCCGATAAATATTAAAAATAATTATAATATATATATATATATATATATAATTAATAAATTTAATTTAAATTAAATATATATATATATATATATA